CCGAGCTGGGAGGCAGGCTCGGTGTGTTCCCATCCCTGTTCAAGACGACCAAAGGGAAACCGAATAGGGAAGGAGAGACAAGGAGCCCGTTCCCAAAGAGTGAACTGCAAACGTCTTGCCGTCTCAGCTGGCCGGTTGGGCACAGCCCCGTCCAGGCTCCACCAGCGTCGGGCAGCTGCAAAGAGACAGCTCCTTGCTCCGAGGAGCCCGGGTGCCACCCTATGTGTTCGCAAGGGCACGGGCTAGAAAGACGGCCTGGCGGGGGCATTACAAATGCTTCAACCCACTCTTTCTGAGACCAAATATTGGACTTGTCACTTAGATCCTTGCCAATAGCTCGGCGGGGACTAGAACGGCTGTCAAGCAACCTCATTGCAAGGACACAGGGATGGGGCTGTGCTGGGAAACTACCATATTCACATCTCTCTCTGGTCTATTTGCTGGGTCCGTTCCACATCGATTTAGGACATTCTCATCTCAACAAGTCCAACCTTAGCGGGGTGACAGCAGTGAAGTCTGAGCCCCACTCAGCTGTGGATTGGTGTTGGGGTGGGTGGGAAAGGGAAACAAGGCCCACCCTAAAGGGTTTCTTTCCCTTTGCTGAGGCATGAGTCTAAGTCCCATAAAAGCTCCTGGAGATTACGGATGCACTGGGATGCACTGAGGCGAAGAGGAGAACAGAGACTTAGTGGATCTAATTAATCTGCAAACAAGACAAAAAGGCAGGGTTACAGCTCACACTATAAATTTAGGCAGGGAATCGAGGTCTCAATTAAGGTACGGGACTATCCAGGGACTGACAGCAGAGCACGACTGAGCACTTTAAGCATGGCTGCTTAGCGGGTGTTGCCCCTCAGATCGGCTTAACACCCTGGCACGTGTCTGAACTGGGAATTTGCTTTAAAGAGATTAACTAGAATCTGTTTAGCGAGAAAGTCGGCGGGATTTCACTCAATTCCTGTGGGCGAAAAGCCCCGCTTAAATATGGCACCGTTCTTGTGGGTTTGCCCATGCACCTGATTTGCTGAATCGAGGCCTCTGGTCTCTCCATTTAGCTTGTAGATTCATCTGTATGATCAGACCCTTTCTAACCATGCACTTGCACAGCGCCTAAAGCAGCAGGTTGGGGTCTCTGGGCTGAAATCCAAATACAAGACTGACAAACATAGGATCGCATGACAGTAGGGTTGGGAGGGACATCACGAGGTCGTCTAGTCCAACCCCTGCTCAAGGCAGGATCCTTCCCAACTAAGCCATCCCAGGGTCCATCCGACCTGCTCTTGAAAACTACACAAACGGGCCTTGGCTGCAGGTGGGAATGGCAGGTAGCCTTCTGCCCACTGCAAATGGACTCTAGCTACACCGCTGGCTTTGCTGTCGGCTTCATCCAGCACCTCCTAATTGCTGGTTGAGCCATAATCGAAACGAGCCTGCCCATCAGACGTTGAGATGTGCCACGTAGGTCAGAGATCCATTTATTTCCCTCCTTCTCAGGCCTTGCCTGTCTCATCTCCTCGGGTGGTAGAGAGGAGGGACTGCTTCCTACTTGATATGCAACGAGGCCCAGATCTCCCTGGGAGCCTCTAAAGGTTACTATAACACACAGTATTACATTATTATTATTATTAAAATGATCAGCACCTAATTATCACCAGCCGTTGGTGGCTTAATGCTTTCGTCACAACCTGAAGCATCCTGAACAGTGCTTAAAACCACCCAAAACCAAGTAAAAAGGAATGGATGCATATCATGCCTTTATATATGAAGCTCTGGCAACTCAATATTACTTTAAAGGGCAGGGTTTCATGGATGCCAATGGGAGTTGCATGCCTTTGAAACTTGCCTACTAAATGTTTTTAAGAAACGATGCCTTAAAATTGACCACAGAGATATTCTGCACTGTAATAAAGAAAACATTGCTTTTCCCCTCATCTCTCGAGGTCTGTCTGGGTAGCTTGTTATAGCTCCACATGATGAAACAAGCCATTTAAATGTTTGTACTGCACTCGCCTGGCCTCAGCGGTTGCTAGGGTTTGCTTATGCTGACAAAGTGGACATATCAGGAGGCTTAAGGCTAGGGAGGTACCAGGGTGAAGCTGACTGCTAAAAGCAACTGATTTCTTCCCCGTTTTTATATTCCCTTTTTTAAACGAATTCTTCTGCCTTTTACCAGCCTCTTGCAGGCTGTTTTGTGCTCAGCTCATGCAGACTGTGTGAGAAGCTGGTTGCGAAGAGAGACTGTTTCGGGTCCAGGTATGGTGCTGGCAAGCTTCCCTACATAAAGCCTGTCCCAAGGGGACTGGAGAAACTGGGGGAACTCACAAACCTGCCAAACTCCCCAAAAGGCAGTTCTCAATGCCGGGTGCTACCAGGGCACTTGAGAAATCCTCGCTGCCTTGTCCCTCCTGCCTTTCCAGATGGGTTTGGTATGGGCAAGTAATTAGTGCTCACCCACAAGGACTAAGCAGGGCCTGCAGCGCCTAGCACCTCGGCTGATGAGAACAGCAGCCCGCACGACCTGGCTCTGAATAAAGTCCAGACAGTTTGTTACGAAAGGAAAGGCAGAGAGAGGGACTGGATTTCCTAGGCAGTGGGGAAGGAGCTGAACACGCCTGAATCCAAACACAGCTCAAATGAAAGGAAAAAAAGATAGGAAAGAAACAAGTAAAGTAAATGTCTCCGGCCACACTTTGTATGGTTTTTTTTTCCTTGAGGTTTTGGGTTAGCAAAAGAGGTTAGCCGTCGACGATGGCCGACTCCAGGAACACCCCGTAGCCGTGAGGTCCAAGGCCCACGCAAAGCCCCATCTGTGCACCAAGGGGTTGCATTCGCCCAGCCCCAACAGCTTCACTGCCTAGATATTGTTTGCTGCACCCGAGAAGCAATGAAATGCAACGCAGGCTGAACGCTTCATCTGGACAAAGTTAGGAGAAAAAGGGACGGTTACGGACAGCAAGGGCTGGGGGCTTCAGGCTCGTTAAAACAACTAGAAGAAGAAAAAGTGGGATGTATTAACTGCAAAGGAGGAAACCCTCAGCAAAAAAATGCTCAGCACCATCGCGTCCGACTTGAAACAAAGGAGAACAGGCAAAGGGGGTTAACTGTAGGTTACATTTCAGAGAGCTTCCATATAATCCTCGCCCCCAACTCTGCAAACTCTCGGGCCTGGAATCTGTTTCTTCTCCAGCAGCTGGCACCGATTTATTCTCTTCTGAGCAAAGGACGGATTAAAGAGCAGGGAGGCATTTGTTCTGAACAGCACCAGCAAGCCAGGCCACGAACAAGGAATTCGGTCTGGTAAACAAACGCACAGAAGCAAAGCGGGGAGAATTCGAGGCTTGCAACCCCCCAGTGCCGGGCTGTTGGGAGCGACCGCTGGCCAGCCCGCACCTCCATGTCACAGAAAATGCATGCCAGCCAGGCTAATACCAACCAGTTGCTGCCCTCCTGCAGTCGGCGCAGTTAAGGGGCATTCCCTGACTTGAAGGGGAGTTGGCATGTCAAATCTCTGCTGCTCCGTCCCCAGCCCACCTCCTCCTTGGCACTAATTCATGTGTTGTCAGCAAGGCTGCCGCACCACTGCCTCTCTCCAGTCGGCTGTCGCAGCACCAGGCTGCTTCCTCCAGTGACCAGGGGTGAGCAATTATTTCAGGTGGAGGACTGCTTACCAAGTTCTGGCAAGCTGTTGAGGGCCGCATTTCCCTCGCCGGTGCAGGGAAGCAGGAACAGCCCCACAGTCCCAGGCCAGAAGCCTCTGCTAGGCAGGGGCTTCCGGTCGTGGAGACGGGGATTTGACAGACTTTGCTGCTGGGTCCTGCTGCCAGCTTCCCCTGGGTGCTACAACCCCTGGCTCCTGTCATTTTTGACAGGCAGCCAGGAGCAAATAAATATTCATTTTCTAATTTTTTTAGGAGCCCCCAGACCATATTTTGCCCGCCCCTGCTCCAGTCCCTTCACCTGATGGCTGGAAGGCAGCAGCAAGAGCTCTGAAATCAAGGGGCATCCCTGGACCAGGCCCTGTGCTGGGAGTCCCTTGACTGTCACACATGCCACGTTCTCTCTCATTGCCCGTGTTTTTGTACCGCCTGAGAAGAAGCAGCTTTGTCTTCTCCTCTCCTTCCCTGTCCCCTGAGGCAAGCACTGCCTTTGTCCGACCACGCGCTCTTCTGCCTGCATCTTGATGTATTCGCATTCACACTCCAGGCACCTCTCCCCACCCACGACAGAGCAAGGCAGCTGAGATGTTCATGCTAAAGGCCCCATGGCTTGATTTCACAGACATTAGGGGCAGGAAGGGACCTTGTGAGATTGAGTCCAGCCCCCTCACTATAGGCTTGAAGTGGAAGGGAAAGCTGGCAGGGCATTTCCTACAACCTATTATCCCAGCACCAGAGCACATCGATCTCCAGAGCATGCCACAGAGCTGGCACATTTCAGGCACTAAAGAGCCTAAGTTAAGAAGGGGTTAATTCAGCAGCAGCCGTGATTTGGGCTTGCTGGGTGAATGGGGGAGCAGGAGAATTATCTGCTAAGTGCCTGTGGGGATTGCACACCCAGAGTAATAGGCAGGCAGCCACCTTCACTCCCAAGATTCAAAAGAAAGGGAGAAAACTGAGCAGCATAGGAAGGGGAAAAGCTCATTTCCATTCAGCCTTCATAGAAACCCGGGGCTGGAGCCTCAGCAGACATCCGTCACAGCCACGCTGCCGTGCAGGCGCTCCCCTCACATCACACCCAGGCTGCTCTAACTCTCTGCTTCCTTCCACTTCTGGCTGTTTCCTCCAGCATCGCTGCTGGCGAGCCCTGCCCAGAAGCGTTCACTTCTGCTGCCATGTCCTACTGTAGAGCGGCAGGTCTTAAAGCTACGGGTTTGCTCAGCCATTGAACCCCGACAACCTGAGCCCGCTCTGCTGCCTGCTTCAGGCAGCCCCTTGGGCAAAACACCAGCATCCCTTTGCAGGTTTAACACTGGGACATTGTACTCGGCGGCAACAACTTACCTGTTGCATTGGAAAGGGACAGGGATTCCATGGAGCCCCGCGGCGTTTGCTTGGTGGGCGTGAGGCCCTCCGGGAATTTAAGTGCATTGATGGGGTGCCGGGTGCGGCACTGCTGAGCCGGCATCCCGCCCTCCTCCTCCTCGTCATACTTTGGGACTTTGAGGCTGCCTCTGGTCTCATTAAAGCTCTGGTTGGACATGTCGCTGTAGCTCTCCTGGGATCGCAGCCTTCCTGAGTAGTAATCTTCGCGGCACTCCTGGATGAAGCTCCCACTGTGCCCTTTCATAGCCAGCGACGAATTTCTCTTTGGGTTGCTGAAATGCTTCCCCCACAAATCGGGCTGGCTGCCTGGGACCTGGCCTGGGTTGTAGGAAGTCCTGATATTACACTGGCTGAGAAGCTGCAAGGGGCTCTGGGACTGGCTCTGCTCCATTTTATTCCCATAGTGGTAGAGCTCGTCTCGGCTCCTCCAGATGTGCTCCCGGTTGAGGCTGGGCGTCTGGCTCGACAGGCTCAGCAGATCCATCTGCAGCGAGAGGGGGTCCACGTCGGCGGAGAGCCGGTTGGAGGTCACCTGCAGCTGGCCGCACTGGGTCAGCACGTTCTCCTCCGCCTTCCCTTTGTTCTTGCCGATCTTGGCGCTACGCCGGGACTCCTTGGCTCGGGCATTTTGGAAGGCCGAGTCGGACGAATCCGAGCCGTTGGGATCCTCGCCCACGCTGCATGCCCTTGAGCAAAATATCTGCCCCTGCTTTGGGAGGAACGGCCGGCCCAGCAGGGATTTTTTGCACTGAGCGCAGCAGAAGCAGGTCTCCGTTGCGTGCCAGTGTTGGCCGTCGTAAGTCATCTGCCCCTGGTCGATGCCTTTGTGGGGGAAGGAAACAGGGACAGCGTCAGCATTTTGTCAAGGAGAGAACGCCCCCAGCCCTCCCAATGCAAGCAGTCTCACTGACAGCTAAGGCTTGCAGAAAACACCCCACAGGCCCTGGTGCTGGTGCCCTCAGGGAAGCTCAGAAGCAGTCCTAGAAGACCAAAGTCTACCTGGCCCCGATCCTGCCCCAGCTGGGGCTACTGAGGCCTGTGAATTGATGCGTACATATATCCCTTTGCAGGCTCCGGATGAGACAAAGTGCAGGCTCAAGCCCTATGTGACCGCAGTTGCAAACAGTTCATTTTGCATTTAAAAAGGTAGGAGCACAGGGTACTGCTAACCAGCAACTAGAAAGAGGCATTTGTTCTGCTTTCTCCATTATGGGGCAGAACATGGCCACGTCCCTGCTCTTGGCAGCTTTAATCCTTGCAGAGTTTAAGACCAGACCTTTGTTTTAAGGGCTGCAGCCTCTCCAAGAAGGAGGATGCCCCAGGTATTGCTGCATCCTCCTGAGTACCATCAGGAGCATCAGGAGGGAGGCTGAGCTTCGCCTCCCCTCACCCTGTCCCTGGCTAGATTAAGGAATCAGTCATGGTGGGGTAGCAATGGGAGTCTGCTCAGAGCAGCAGATGTGAGACTTGGCAGGTCCGGTCTAGAGCAGCTGTATGTGAAATAATATTAGTAATCACTGTGCATACCCAGGCATTATCCCTCACAGGTTACTACTTCATTGCACTGGAAACGGGGAACTCTAAGTCATCAGCCTTCCCTGAAATCCTCCCAATTAACTAGGGCTCCAAAACCGCAGATGATAGCACCGTGCCTCCCCAAACGAGTGTAAGGAAACCCACAGAGGCCCAAAGGAGGGCATCCGTTTGGAAAGTGGCACGGGGGCAGTCTCCAATGCTACCTGCTAGCCATGAAACCACAAAAATGAAACACAAATTGCTGCCATTGCTAGTCGAGCTTTTGGGGAGTTATCCAGGGAAGACTCAGAAGGGACTTTTTTTTTTAAACCTGTCCTTTCTCTCCTCCATAATAAGCAATGGGAGGTCACCTCTGCTTTCTGAGCCACAGGATGGAGCGATGCCCAAAGAATTACCGCAACGCCACGTCGCAGGAAGGCCGAAGAAGACAGCGTGGGTTAGCTCCTTTCTGTGCAAGCTAGAAGAATTTTCCAGTGGGCGAATGCCGGTGCCGAAGCCTCCTTTCTAACGCGTTTATTTGTCTGTTTACTCGGCAGTTCTCAGCAAAAGGCACAGTTACCTTAGTAACTGCGGCAGGACGCGCGGCACACTCCGGGTGCGAGAACAAGCGCACACGTGTGCGCAACACGTTCGTCCATACTCGCGGGGCATCTTAGCAGAACCAATTAACGTGGCTATAAATACACGTAACAAAGCTGCGAGCAACCCGTCCGATTCCCAGCTCAAACTGGTTTACGCGCAACCTTTTTTGCATTGCAACAAGCAAACGGTTTTTACACAAAGAGAGCCAAGTGCGGCATTTGAAGACCAAAGGAGGCGGTGGGTGGAACGAACATCTGGAATGCACCGACTAGCTCTCGATCCAGCCGCCTAGCACTCGCTTCTGAAGTTACGTCTGGGACGGGCAGGTAACTCTTCTTTTCCAGGGGTCCCATTATGAGACCAACTCTGCCAAAGTCTTAAGCACATGCCTCACCTTAGCTTCCACACCTCGCCTCGCTTCTATGATGATTGCTGTTTTGTGGCAGTGCCCGCAAGCCTCAGCGCTACTCTGACAGGTATCATGCAAACGCTCAGTATTATGGTTTCTAAGTCATAAAGGGATGACAAGAGGGAAGATCACGAGACAACACTGAGTTCTGACTGCAGTGGCAAGTGCAAGACTGCTTTCACCCCTGTGGAGGGGGCATCAATGCAAAGATAAGTGGTAAAGAGGGATGGATGGAGGACAGAGTTAAACTCAGCCCCGAGTGCTTCGCTGAAACATCAATTCCTCCCTGCTGACTGTTTGGAAATTGCATAGGAGCCAAAGGGTTTTCTTTTCTTGTCCTTCCTAGGGGCAGTGTGTGTTATTGGAGAGCGGCACAAATGCGCACTCCCTTATCTGGACAGATAAAAAGCTGCTTGTCCATCCACCCACGTAAACAGATTTCTTTTAAATGCACAACAAAGCAGCCAGAGAGATTGCAGAATACAGCAACCCTGCATCTAAGCTCATTTTACCACTGGGAGAGGTGCCAGCTTATGTTAAGAAGGTAATACAGCAAGGTTTGGGAAGGGAATTAGCCAGTCCCTCATGTAAAACAGTAACATTCTCCATGTCAGAAAGGTGGATTAAGCCCGCAGCTTCTTTTTTGGTTGTTGCTTTTTTCCCCTGTGCTTGAGACTATCACGTCTATTTGTGGATTAAAAAGAATGAAACTGAAACAATAATGACTTCTAACGATCAGCCATCTTCCCTGGCAGCGGCTCCTTAACTCCTGCAACCCCTGAGAAAGTCCCAATGGTAAGAATCAGATGCCAAGAGTGCAAGACTCTCTGCAAGACAGCAGTGACATGCACAGAGAAAGCCCTTGCTCTGGCAAGCTTTAATAGCTCCTGAGCTGGCTTTCCACTATTCTTCCCTCCTTCAAAAGGGGATTAAAAAAATCCTCCCTGGAAAAGGCAGCCATTTCAACAGCTAACCTCCCTTTCTGCCTTCTCGAGGAACGGGAAGGTTTTGCAAGCCTGGTGCCTGCAGTTACTCCCTTTCTACACTGGATCTAGGGGTGGGTACGTGGCTGGGAGCAGCTCTCTGGTGCGGTCTTGTCTGAAGTCTCATAAAGACGCCCGCGCTGCCAAGCTGTTGTCAGAGGTGTAACTGAGGCAGCTTGCACTGCCAAGAAGCCAGTGTCAAGCGAAGTCCTTTCGAGCGGTAGCCTCAAGAAAGCTTCACTTAAACCACTATGAAAAGGCAGCACGCTCATCCCTCTCCCTCGTAGCTTGGCAGCCCCTTGGCTCTTACCTATGTGCTGGGCACAGGTGTCGCAGTACTCGGCGTACAAGGACTCGAAGCAGTTGCAGCAGTACGGGCGGCCTTCCTTCATGATGTACCTCTGGCCTCCCAGCACGGTTTCACATTCAAAACAGCAAAAGTGCTTCATGTGCCAATGTCTGCCCTCCGCCTCGGTGCACTCGTCTGCAAAGATGATCTGGGAAGAACCAGAAGAAGGAAAATGAGCCACCCAAAAACGGCAGGCAGAAACACGAAGCCATTTGTCCCCCATCCCCAATGCATTGGTTTTGACCACGTAGGATGTGCCTTCCAGCACCTGGGACCACAAGCATCATCTTTCTATAGAGCCATGCCCAGGAGCCCTGAGCTTTGATGAGCATCCTCAGGTGCAGCTAGAACAGATAACAAAGGTGATGATAGCAGAGACCCTCGCTACAAGGACATGCGATGCGGGGAGGAAGGCAATCCAAGCTCTAGACCCGCACAGTGCAATACAACACGCGTGCCTGGCACTTCCCAGGGTCTGCTTTCTACTGAGGTGCAGTAAATACACTGCAGGAACGGAGTGCTATCCGCTGTAGATGGTTATAAACACAAGCAGAAAGGGTTATGGATGCTTTCAGGCCCCAGTTATAAACAGGCTATTGATCTGTTGGACTCTACAGCAACGTGGCATTTATTAAGGCATCTATCAATCATGTATGAACTGCTTCAGAAGGGAGCCTTAATATAAAAGATGCGACTGAAAGCAAGACCAAGGACAGTCCCTCAGAGCGGCTGACATAAAGCAATCCTGGGCGTTCAGATAGCACTTGCATCCACAAATGCCTCCAGGCCAAATCCCATTGCAATCACTAAGCATCTAAGCGGGATCCTAGTCCACCCTACTCGAAGCCCTGAAAACCCATGAGTGCAGAAGGCTGTGCGAGTTCTCCTCCTCCTCCTCCTCCTCGCTGCTTTGTGTGACTCTGTGCGAGCACTAAAGACTTGATGACGTTTGAGAAGCTCATGGTTTTTCAAAGATGCATATGGCAGAACACCCATTTGACTGGTGGAGAAACTGAGGCACGGACCGGTTTGAGGAGTCACTAAAAAATGAGCCAGCTGAGATGGGTGGCACTTGCAGGCATCTTGATCCCCAGTGACTGTCCCTCTCCCTGGGGCTTCGTGCCCCCACATCAGAGGGCAAGGGGTGGCTCAGTGCCTTCTGCAGGGCAGATTGGCCAGGAAGTCTTGCCCTGTAGTTCTGCATTACAGTTTTGGTGAGCACTTTTGGTCACTTTGGAGGCAGAAGTCAGCTTTCAGGAAGGATCTGAGTATGGTGCTTGTACTCAGACCTGTAGCAGGGCTTTGTAAGCCTAAAAGCCCATGAAAAAAATGAGCTAGTTTAAATCACTGGGCAAGAAGGCCATTTTAATAGTTAAGCATTTGTTTTTTGCTGGTAACATTACAAATCTAATTGGATACATACATCCACATCCTTTATATTCCATGCGCATAGATAGAGAGATATTTTCTGTACATCTGCCTAGAAAGGACTTAGCATTTTACAGTACATATGGTTTTCCACACGATGCTTTTCATAACTTTAAAAGGCAGAACAATTTCCTTCACCAGCCTTTTAAACTGAGATTGACACTCGAGAAACAGCGTCGTAGGTTTTTTGGATTAGATTACATTTGTTCAGCTTCCCATATCCCTTTAATCTCCTTTATTAAAGCCGATTTCAATCCGCGGCATGGTCAAGCATTACATGGGAGTAAGAAGTCGAACGCGCGGCTGCTTCTGGTTCGTCTGTGCAAAGCGAAAACACCGATCTGCCCAGCTGGACCGAAGGGACACGGTTTATTGTGCCCTTCCAGGAGCTGTTATCAAAAAGGAAACCTGGACCTCACTCACAATGATTCTGGGCTGATTTGAATTTTGCAAGCCCAGCGTGAATCTCCCTGGGGACAAACTGGAAATAAAGGGAAAGTTTTATACGGGCCAGAAGAAACCACAACCATCCAGCATCCGATGGCTTTGAGTACTCGGCATGTTGCTTAGAGCCATTCAGCTCTACCAGCCACACACATGTGAAAACACAGACATGTGCAAGCCAGGCTGCGCGATGGCACGGCACTTGCACTGGATTGGGACCTGCAGAGAGTTTGCACACCGGTGGCAGCGGAGGTCCTGCCTATTGCCTTCCTTCGTCCACATATGGTGCCAAAGCAGTGCTCACAAGCTCAACATCTCACAGGACACGTGTGCTTTTCATATTAATTGCACCAGCCCAAGCCGAATATCCCAAACGGACAACCTCCCAATGAGCCATCTCCTTCACGAGGGATTTAATTTCAGATTTACTTTTCCCCATAACCCACGTGCTTTGCAAATGCCGGGCCACTTCCCAGTTTGCATTCAAGCTCCTGGGTGCAGCAGCATAAAAGAAACCCTCAACGCTTTAACGTCTCTCCCAGTATCATGGCACGTGGGCTGGGGGCAGTCTCTGCTCAGACCCCCTGAGGGGGGCTTAGCTTGGATGGCCACAAAACGCTCCTGGTGCAGCTTGTACATCCACTGGGGAGTATCCCACACCAAAATGGACAGGTTGGGGTGTGATGTCCCATGCCATGTCAGGGCTGACTTTGGCTAATAGATTAGACCATGGATTTGTGTGGGGAGGTTTGGATAGGGATGATCCTGCCTCAGGCAGGGGGCTGGACTCAATGACCCACAGAGGTCCCTTCCAGCCCTGCTTTTTTGCAACTCTATACCATGCTCCCCCCATACCTCAAGCAGCACGGTGCAAGCCCAAGCGCCCACTCCTCTTTGCCCTTACCTCGTCGCAGGCCGCACACCGCGGCTTCAGGCACTCAGCGTGGTGCCGGCCGCAGTAGATCTTCCCGTCCTGGTAGAAGTAGATCAGGTCAACCAGCAACTCGTTGCAAACGCTGCAGATGAAGCAAGGAGGGTGCCAGCACACGCCGTGCCCTGCTCGAGATGCAAACACCGCGATGTCTCCGCCGTTGATCTGGCCGCCGCACTGTTAAAACGAGAAGGGGGTTTAGCTGCAGGGCAGGGAGGCAGCTTTCAGGGTGAGAAAGAAGGTGCTTGCTTGTTCTCGCTCAGCTGCAGCCAGCTCTGTCGTGGAAAACCTCAATTTGGGGTCACCCAAGTCTCCCCGGCCCTGGGTCATGCTTTGTGTTGCAGGCAGCATGAAGATGCCATATCTACTTGTGCTGTCTTCGCTACTGGCTGTGCTGAAAGGCTGAAACAGCTAGGGTTATTTAGTCTGAACACGGGAAGACTGCGGGGGGATTTGATAACAGTCTTCAAATCCTGCAGGGTGATTAAGGAGCTGGACTTGTCTCCGTGGCCCTAAGGGACAGGACTAGGAGTAATGACCTCAAGCTGCAGCAGGGGAGATTTAGGTTGGAGGCGAGGAGGGACTTCCTAGCTCCGAGGGTGGTCAAGCACTGGAACAAGCTGCCTCGGGTAGTTGTGGCACCTCCATCCTTGGAAGCGTTTAAGAGCAGGTTAGATGCTCAGCTGGGATGGTTTAGCCTGTGCAAACAGGGGGATGGAGCAGACGACCTTGCGAGCATCCTTCCAGCCCTACTTTCCGATGATCCTGTGACCATTGGACTGCAGGCGAGCAGGGTGACCTGAGGATGTGCTTCTTCCCTAGGCCTGTTATGGGTGGAAATAGCTATTTCTGAAGGGCTTTTAGCTGCCTGAAGGACTCTGTGGGGGAAATGAATGCAGCAGCAGTAGGCTTGGCTGGCCTGTCACTAATCCCCGACCGACGAGTGCTTTCAAGTATCTTAAAGCAAAATGACTGCTTTTTTCTCGGCTTCGAAGACTGAAGCTTGTCAGGCCTCAGTGTCCATCCATCCTCCTTCTCTCCAACTCGTCCCTCCTGCCTGCTGATGCACTGGACGTGGGCTCCTTACCCAAGCACCGTGCCTCGTGTCTGGATCAGGGACCGGCGGCTGGGAGCACAGGCTGGAGATTCACGGGGATTCAATCCAGCTGCGGGAGAGGCAGGCGGGGTTGGGATTCGTGCCTGTACCGCCTAAACCAGGGTATAATAGCCCAGCCTGTAGCCATCTGGGATGCACCGTATATTCAGCCTTCTGGAAGGTGACCCCCAATGTGATATGACAATGCACTTACCTATCTCTACACCCCTGACCACGGGGTGCCGTCCCCAACAACACGCCCCGAGCGACCGCTTACCTGCTCGCAAATGGCTCCCGTCATGGTGACGGGGAAGGGCCGAACGTTGCCTCTGCCTAAATTTTCCCTCTTCCGCTGATTGCTGAAGAGCTTGAGCTCCCTCTTCTCCTCCTCATCCAGCGAGTTGCAATATCGGACCTACAAGACAAGCGGTGATAGGTGGCACCATCTGGCAGCAAGCCCGCTCCCCTGCACTCGTGCCGATGATTGCTGCTGTTATTTAAAAGGGTAGGTCGGCTTGTGGCAAGGCGGGTATTCGAGGCTTGGCCAGGGGCTGGCTCATTGCTTCTGCAAACCTTGCCATTGCTCCCTGCTATCTTTTTTCTGCTGCCGCTAGAACAGCAGCTCCGAAACCAACTGCAAACCTCGTTTTCCTTAGCTTTACCCCAGGGCTGCGGTGACTCGCTATGGGACCGCACACCCAGTGTCAGCCCAGGGTTCATCAGAAATTGCAAAATAAAGGAAGGAAAGGATGTAAACAGCCTAAGTGAGAATTTCCCCACAGTTTACAGAACTGGGGGTTTCCAGGGCTCAGCTGTTTCTTGTCCCTGATGATTACAGATGTGAGCTGAAGCCAATTCAGCCCTAATGGAACCATGTTAGTAAGACAGTGCGGGGGGAAAACACTAAATGGCCATGCTGCGGGGTAGGCAGAGACCGCGTCCAACTCCACATCCCTGACTTAGGAGAACAGAGTCCTTGAATGCAACAGAAAACCGCGTGAGATATCCTCACAGCTGGACTTTTGCAAAGGGGCGAGCTGAGCGTCCGCGGGAGTTGGATGCCTCCCTCCCAGCTCGTGGGCAAGGAAACGTGCCCCTCAGCTGTCCGGTGCTGGAGGTTCATGCTGGCTTCACACATCAAGCCTACAGGATCGGGCCCTACGGGTATGGACACTCTCCTCGCAGGTGTTCGCAGCTCCCCTGGCTACTGACAATGCCTCACTGTATTTCTATGGCAGCCAGCCATATGCAGGCAAGCACATTAAAATATGACCTAGATAAAAACAAGTTACCTGCATGTATAAAATGGATTCCTGAAGGAGCAACGTGAAATTCTTTGTTTAGGCAATGAAACTTTCTGGGAGACGGGAACTCAATGATCCCACAAGAGAGTAAGTGTCCGAATGGGCCACGGCTGCAAGCGCGGGGTCAAGGCTCAGCATCGGGCCGGATCAGAGATCTGGACTCCGCTCCACCAAGGTCCTCAGCCCCCACGTAAATCTGCTCCCCCTTGAAAAACGTGGGTGACCCCAGAGGGGCAGGGACAGCCTCGTGGGGTCCATTTAAAACTCATCTTGAGTTGATTGAACCAGGACCTCCGGCCAGTTTTAACACAGGTTTTGCTCTCGAGTGCTGGGAGTCTGCTTTGTTTCCCACAGAGCTGATCGGAGGGTAAATTTAACACGTAAATAAATACAGCCAAAACTTCACTTTAAAAGCAAATGAATCCATAGATGCCAAGCAAACAGCATCAGTGGTTGGCCAAAATGTCTCTGAAAAGCTGCCAAGAAGGGAACTCTCTTTCTGCAGGAGGCTGAAACCCTGGCAAACGGAGCAGGGCAAAGGACTGCTCTCTTCAGTTCTCCAGGAGTTTTGCAAACTGGAGTTCACGGCAGGAGGCTAGCGGGAAAGACACAGGACCACTCACTGCCTTCGCATAGCACAGGGCTCCAGTGCGGTGATGGGGGCAACCCGAGGCAGGTGGCTCTTTTTAAGGGAGGTGACTACTAGGGGCAGCGAAGTGCCCGGCAGCAGTCAGTGGCACGGCCACTGTGACGCCAACGTGCGGCAGGGCGACCCTTCAGCCACTCACCTCATTGTCATGCGGCGGCAGCTGGTGCAAGAGCTGCTTGATGCGCAGCTTCTCTCCGGGACTGTTCACGTAGGGCACCTTGTCTTCGGGAAGGCAGCTGTAGTACTGGTGAACCTAGGTGGCAAAAGAGGGCACTCCTTGGGTGACTGGCATGCTCACGGCTCCCGACTGCCCCGAGGGCCGGCGAGCGAGACAGCGAGCAGAAGTCAGGGTGCAAACACAAAAACCAAACAAGCCTGTCCAGTCAAACCAGCCGACGAGGTTTCAACGTGGAAGCAAAGCGACTCCCATCAGAGACAGCATGGTGGGTTGGAGAAAGCAGGACGTCCCGAGGTGGCTTCTTACCATTTTCTCTGTCAGTCTCCATAGTGTTAGCATGTTCCCCTTGGCCTGCAGTGAGCACGGCCGCTCCCCGGCTCCCCGTAGTTTCCCGGGCACCTCTATACCTCCACCCTGCACTCCCGCCCTGCGGGCCTTGCTGCAACAATTGCGAGAGCAACCTCTGTCGGGAGGCTGGGCTCGCCTCCCCGGCTCGGAGCGTGTAATTAAAAACAATTACCAAGAGCGCAGCAACGTGCCCTTGTGCGGGGAGATGCCCTCCCACCACTCACCCTGAGACTCGGGCTCTGCCGCAGGCGTCCGAGGCTCGGGGAGAAGGGTCTCTGTCGGGTCAAGGGGGGCTGCGTAAGAACTGCCATCGACTGGGGATGGGGAATAGGGCCGTTTTGCCCGGACTCACGCCGCGGCAGAGAGCGGAGGCTGAAACGGGGAGTGAACTGGCTCTTTTCCCCTATTCCTTTCTCACTTGCAGCCTCTCGCATTTAAGGTCCAGGCGGTTCTGATTCAGAGCCTGCACCCCTCACTCCTGTGCTCAATAGCGACTGATGCCCTTTTCCTCCAGGAACGGAGCATTTCCACCTTTCTGCAGATTGCAAAACACCCAGTGGGCTCTGCTGCACGCTGGGAGGGGAGCAGCAGGGTTGGAGCAGGGGCTTTTCTTTGAGATACCCCCCGTGAGACTTTCCTGTGCCTTCGCTGCCTTGGGATCCCCCTGCCACCGTGCACCCTGTGCCTCACAAGCCGCCAGAGCCTGCTGATGCAGCAGGGCTTCGCTCAGGTAGGAAACACGCCGCCAGTCAGCTTTGCCTGGGATTTAAATGTTTGGCTTTGGGCTACAAAGCACCAAGTGGCCTGACCAGTCCCAGAGGTCCTGTCACCTCCAGAGTGCCCCTGGAGCCTGAGCTCATGGGGCCTGTTGCAAAAGACCTGCCTCTCTATCCCACCCAACCCCTCAGGGCTTGCACCTGGGCTGATCTCTCTCCCCCTGGGGCCTCTTCTCCAAGGGAGGAGAGAGGCACTCACGGTGTTGAGCCTACATTGAATTCAAAGCCACATGCCAAGGCAGAGGATCCCTAACAAAATCACCGGGCTGCTTCTGAACTCCCCCCCTGTGCAGCTCTTCTCCGAACCAGATCTGATCTTCATCCGTCCTCCACAGCAAAACTTTGCACACTTGCATGTGTGTCGTTGCTGACAAAGGGACTGGCTTGCTGCACGGATGGCTGGATCAGACCCCCTGAGCCCAGGAGAGCTCATCGGGGTTTAGGCCGTGGTCTAAACATCTGGCTCTGAATGAGTTTGCTAATGCCAAGCCCAGACACCAGACCCTTCAGCTACAGAGGCTGGGGAAGAAGCAGAAAGCTCCAAATACTCCCTCGCCTAAAAGTCACAAGGCAAACATTGAACAAAGGTACAGGACTTACTGTGCACTTATCCAGCATCCTTCAGCCAGCGCCATCAAAGCACTCGCACAACTCATTAAGCCTCACGAGCCTCTCTGGGCGGCGGCAAATAGTCCCAGAGCAAGAAGCCGCAAGGGACGTGCAGAGATGTTAAGTGACATGTCCGCGGTCATGCGGCTGCTCAGTAGCGGAGCCAGGCACAGTTTCCAGGTTTCCATCTGGCTGCAAGGCTACTCCATCCCCAGGCTGCATACTACAAGCATCGGCCGACATCTCTCTGCTAATCTTCCCAAACACCGCCTGCCCCGAGCGCTTAGCAGCTCGGCAAATGAAATCCCTTTCCCCATAGTGTCCTGGGACCTGGAGGAGCCCAGAAATAATTCCTCCTTGAACAGCTGCCAAATGACATCACGTCACCTGGGGCCCTGTAGTCACGAGCTGCAAGAGGTGTAGAGGGAGGCGTGTGCTGTGGCCCACCGCCAGCACATGCTCCTAGGTGCCGGGCTGAGCTCTGTGCCAGTGGCCCCGACTGCTTCCTCTGCAAGCTTTTCAACCCCTCTGCGGGGCCCAAGAGTGCAAAATATTTCTGCAGGGATGGGCACGTTCATTCGGGAAAACAACGCAGCCAGACCCAAGCCCCGTCGCCTCGCGTGAACCCAAAAGCAACTACACTAATACGAGGACTTTGGCACGGAGCTGAAATGCTCTCCCAAGGATTGGAACAACCTTGAATATTAAATACCGGCCATCATGAGTTCCCAGCTGTGCGAGCGACCCTGCATTCACGTGTTGTGCGGAGGATTTTGCTGATCGCCCGTAGGCGCAGGTTTAAGTCGCGCCGTTTGAGGGGTTGCTGAGCTCTCCCGGCCTGGACAGGTCCTGGCAGAGCGCACGGAGATTCAGCCAGAGCGCAGACAAATAAATAAAAAGGGGGGTTGTTTTGCCTCCCTTGAAACCAATGCAAGTTGTGAGAAGAGAATCTAGCATTTGAGAACAGACGGTTCCCAGGGAGGTTGGGAAGAAAAGCTGGACACTAAATGGGTTCTCGGCTTGCAGAAAATGTGCCGTGCCACAAACTGTGGATACCAAGGAGTGTGACAAGCCCTTGGTGTTAACCTGCTGCAGAAGTTTGCATTGCTGTCCTGGCAGGCTCCCGCCTGGCTAGTCGCTCTTCCTCCGCAGGCTTCCCCGCATAGTGGTGAGTGGCTACCAAGGGAGGGATCATTTTGTGGATAGAGGAAGGCTTCAAAGACAGCAGTCATGAATTCTGCCCTTGCTCTATAGCTGTTCCTGGGTGAACTGCTAGAGAGGCCAGAAAAGTTGAGAGCTGGGACAAGGTCCAGGCTTTTGGGGCCCTTGATTGAAGCCAGGACTGCAGGGTGTACAGGCAGTGCTCCCAGCGGGTTCGTTAACCTCTCCGTGTGACGGCGCCTGTGGGACCACGCGGACAGGGCTGCACTGCTTCCAGCCTGGGAGCCAGGGCTCAATGAGTCACGAAGCCTGTTTGAGGGCATTGCTACCAGATGTGGCAGCACCTCTGGGAGGGTCCCGAGAGCTGGAGGGAGGAGGGGGAACGAGCCTTCAAAAAAACCAGGAGCTAAGACCCAGGTCCCCCAAAGTACTTAGCCAACTCCTACTGGAGGGTACCTTTGAGATACTGGAGGGTAAATGGGTGCAAATGTATCTGCCTGCCTACCGAGGCACTATAAGATTGAATCATTATTTGCAAAACAGAGATGGAAGATGCTATGTAAGGACCTCAACCAAAGCCCACTGAAAATCAATCAGACTCCCTCCATCGGCCTCGAAGGGCTGCGGATCAGGACATGAACACATCGTGCAAGATCTGATGGCACCGCAGCATTGGGTTTTAGCATCCTTTTAACAAGGACACTGCGTTATTTCTTAGGGTAAATCAGTCTTCGTCACCCCATTATTAAATGTTTGCCACGTACAAGACTACCGTTCTGACTCCTGCTCTCTCTCCTCATCGGCCTCTCCTTTCCCATCCTACCAGACCTTGTTAACATTCACAAGCACTTGAGGTGTTAGGCGAGACGTCACTCTGGATTAATGTATTTCCCCTTCTCCTCTCTGACCTGTGTTCGCATTTGAATTTGGATCAGCTCCAAAGCAATTTCAGAGATCTCAGGCCAAGTCCTAATGAAATGTAACCTATGCTGCAAACCCCTGGACACCCCAAGCTGCAGTTTAAGAGGGGCCAGACACAGAATAGATGGGTGTGGAAGCCTAAAGAAGCATTGGCAGAGCAAGTGCAATAATAGTGCGGTCTTGCTTCTAAGGAGTGCATGTGCATTCTCTCTTGCACACATGCACACGCACGCACATGCACACACAAACAAACCAAGGCAAAAGAGATATTGATCCCTACACTGATCTTTCTTTTCCCAAGGTATTTGATTCCCATCTTTAAACAGGCAAGCAGTTCAAACCATGTGCCCTTTAAAGTCATTACAAGCAAAACATTAAGAAAATAGCTAATAAGTGTTTTGGAAATAAGCAGCTCCTTCAAGGAAGGAAGAGGGAAAGGGGGGAAAAAAACCCTTATAAAATGAAACTAGGAAAATATTCTTTCAAGTCGAGCCAATTCTGTTGCAAGTAATGCAGGAAAATAATTACATTAATTCATCAGCACTTGTCTGTTTTTCAGCCTTATTAGTTCTGGGGCGGGGGGGTGATCTGTTTCGTGCCTCCATTTGAAGGTTAGTCTTCCACCTCTGAAGAAGCCGTGGCTTTGGGCTCTGTCGGTGAATCTCTGCATGCCTAGTGACTCAGTTTCCAGAACCTCTTCCGAAAGGAAAACCTGACAGTCCCCATGAACGCTCAAGGCTTTGGTTTGGCAAAGAGGCTTCACATCCAAGGAATGGGGGGGAACATAAGCAGATTCTTTAGCCTTGAGTTGCACCAAAGTGGTGCCTGGCAACTCTCCCCCATCCTGACACATGCTAGATGGCATCTGGGTTGTTGGTTGTAGCCGTGTTGGTCTACACAGGCAGGCAAGGCTCTTTGGGTAGATGGGGTATCTTTGATTAGACCAACTGAGAAGTTGGAAAAAAGTTCTTTGCAAGCTTTTGGGTGCACTCACCCTTCTTCACCCACAGGTAGTCTCTGCTATTCTGGACATTCATAAGCCATTATGCAGAAGAGAAAGTATAAACTGTGTTAGCTGTTCAAAAAACAAGCAATTGCTCCCATTTCTACATCGAGCCAGCCGGGAGATGCTCTTATTCATTTATTTAGCATTCAAGCATTCCTCGGCCTGATTTTTCAAACGGTAAAACTCCAGTCCCTTTCACGATTCAGACTCTGGCTCTTCAGGTTTCGTTAGGGTCATTAAAGACAGCTTAGCAA